ATTTAGTGAATTCTTCACAATGTTAGATTTTGTTTGTAAAAAAAAAAACAAAGAGAGCAGCTTTTGTGCAGCGTTACCTGATTCTGTGACAATGGGGGGTCGTGTTTATAGGAAAGCCCTGCTTTGATTAGTGCCGTCAGTGCCTCAGCCCCCCACTCCCTCATCCTGGAGTTTGGGTGCTGGCAGACCTACAGAAAGACATGAAGAGAGCAGACGAATGAGGAAAACGACAACCTGTGAGGGAAGATGATGTTATTTACAGGGCAACATACAGATACACATGGAGAGGCCCGGATAAGCAAAGGAAGAATACATTGCTTTATTTACCACTGTAATTTTAATGGTACATTTGTTTAAGCAATAGAAGCATAAATTCAGAATCCAGATGATCCATGTGTATCATTTTGTGTCCACATAAAGCTTAACATCATAATCTGCATTTGGAAAATAATACATGAAGGTCAAAGTCAGAGCTTTGACAATGTTTTTCAAACTATGAAAGCACTGGATTTGAATAAGCACGCAGGGAAAGACACAGACTTTGAAGGTGCAGCTTTAGATTCTTGAGTTGTGATAAATCACAGGTTAACACTGCAAACAAACTGTGGACACGTTTCTGACATTCAGCTCAGATCTTCGACCAAACATGTTTATGTCAGATAGACAGAGAGAGAGAGAGAGAGATTGGCAGGAGAAAGAGGTTTGAGGATTCTTAGCTTACCTTCTGCAAAACAAACACGTGTGCAAAAGAGAGGGGAGATAAGGAAAATGTAAAGATACCCTTCAATGATAAAGATGTCCAAATATAAGAATGTTTGCATAAAAACACATCTCATACAGTACCTGCCACCTCCTGCACATTCTGTCTTGTTACAAAAATAAACATTAATGTAGTTTATGAGGACTTCTGTCTCTTAGATCATTCGTATTCAGGCCACTTCTGGGTAGATTAACTTACTGTTTTAGTTGTGAGTCTACCAATTTTATTTAAAAGCTTAATAAGTCAAGCTCTGAAGAGCCTCCTTTCACTGCAAAAGGTCTGCATGAAGTAGCACAAGTTCAGTCTGGGCAGGTTCTTATCTGGACTTCAACTGGACTGTTCTAAAACATAAACGGGCTTTGATCTGAACCTTTGCTTTGCATTTCTGACTGAACGCTCATACAGCATGTGTAGAATCTAACCCAGCTGTTGTTCTAAAAGTGCTGGGTTTGTGCTCTTTGATGCCTCCATATAAACTGCTCAGACAGCTGATTTATTAAAACCTAATCAGGTGTTTGTTTCTAAGTGGAAGTCAGCTAAAAGTAAAAGGCATGTCGAAGGAGCCTCTTTGCCCCTGAATGATAAAACCTACCGTATTTTCGAGACTATAAGGCGCATATAAACGTCCTTTTTTCCTCAAAATGTGCAGCGCGCCCTATAGTGCGGTGTGCCCTATGTGTGTTGCTCCTGCGGACGTTGTTGAGACCACCATGAGAACGTTAAAGGGGGAAGTGTGGGCGTGGATTGTGTATGAAAGAACAGGTATGTGCTTTATGCAGAACATTGTTGTCTTAACAACCCTGAAAATGGCAAATGGACAGAAACTGCCGCCTATGGTGGTTTTTAAGAGAAAGACTTTGCCTAAAGAGACTTTTCCAGCTGGAGCCGTTATTAAGGCAAATGAAAAGGGCTGGATGGATGAGGAGATGATGAAAGC